AGGGGGGTTGGGGGGGTGAGGGCGTGGGGGCAAACTCCTGAGGGTGCTGCCTCAGCCCCAGGCCGGGAAAAGCAGACAGGCCGGCTGTGGCCCGGGCCTAAAAGGCAGGTGAGGGGGGCCGTGGGGACGCCGGGATGTACACGACGGACACGCACTGCTCCTGATTATCTCCATTCTGCAGGGTGGCCGGAACCCCGGCCCAGCCCGGGCCCGCCTCAGCCGTCCTACTCGCAGAGTTCCGCGGGAACCACGAGAGCAGCGAAGGAAGCAGCGACCGAGACAGCGGCAGCGATTTCCGGGAACAGCGCGCGCCGACGCGCGTCACGTGCGCGCTGCGTCACAGCGGGGCGGGGCCGAGACTGGGCTCCCCACGTTCCTCGGGACGGAGATGGGGCGTGGCTACCGAAGTCCCCAAGGCGTGGCCTAATTTGTGAGGCCGGGCGTAGGGCTTTGATTTAGAAAAGACGTGCACGTCCTGACATACAGTCCATGAACCAATATTTCCTGGTACTATGTTCCAGGCACTATGAAGGGAATGGGGATACAGTGATAAACACAACAGACAAGGTTCCTGCCCCAATGGAGCTTAGCTTGGGGGCGCATGATAATCTCTTTGAAGAGAAACAGCGGGGTGTTGAAATAAAAATAATGGGATGGTGTTACTTAAAGAGGTAATGGAGAAAGCAAAGTTGAACCATCATCTACCGCACTAGCCACTGGAAATGGCGAGCAAAACAGCTGAGGTCTTGCCTAACAGAGTTTTGGTCTTTCCCATTGAACCCCAGAGCCTACAACAGGGCTGACTTAATAGATGCTCCATGCAATAAACATGGGCTGAGTAAATGACTTCACCTTGGTCTTTCACAAAAGCCAACTATGTAATTGGTTAGAAGACCTGTTTTCAAAGGCTACTCTGACATTTATTAGATCTGGAATATATTCAGCCTTCCTAAACCACTAAAAAGGGCTGAGGACCAATGGTGATAACGTATGTGAACTGTATAGCACTGTATAAACAAATGTAAGGTATTACAGTTCTGACTTGCTGTCTCATTTCCCTGTATTCACACCTCTTAGTTTTGAGAGAAACGCTGAGTACAAAGCACTTGTGCTATTTGAAAAGAAGATAACCATTTTCCACCCAGAAGGAAATATTAAGTACTGTAAAGAACAAATAAGAGTCTGGCCATATTTTCTCCACCAGGTCCCATAACAAGTCTCTTTTCCTTGCCTCATTCAATGGAAATTTATATACAGGTAATTATGCCCACTATCCCTAATGTTAGCAGCAAAGAGTGGATGTGAATTCTGAAGTTCAGCTGGAATGACAATATGACAAAGTAGTCAAACCTCAAGTTTGAAATGTCTCTCTGCCTTCCTGTTCCAGCTTAAAAACTCCTAAATGGAAAGTACTAGCCACATACGATCATAAATTTAAATTTTAAGTAATTTAAAGTAAATAAATATCAAAACTTACTATAGAGCTACAGTAATCAAAACAGTGTGGTTTGGGGCTGGCCGAGTGGTGTGTTGGTTAAGAGCTGGCTTGGGACGCCAGCTCTGTGCAGCAGGGCCCTGGTTTGGATCCCACATGAGGGCCAGTGACACTGCCCTCTACAGCTAAGATGGTGAACAACAGCTTGACCTGAAGCTGGGATGCCATGAGTCGCTGGTGACGCATAGGCTGCAGCCATTTCTGCAGTGAGCTGCTGTAAGCTACTGGGTGTGGCAGGCAGCCAGCGTGAGCGGCGGCCGGCAGCTGGTGTGAGTTGCCAAGAGCCGCCGTGAGCGGCCGTCCAGAGGCCGGTGACCGATCTGCCTCACCCGGGAAGAGCGCAATGATCATACCGACATGGGCCAGTGAAGCAATGTCCTCCACAACTAGACTGAAGAACAAAAGGACAGCAACTTGTCTGTTCAAGCCAGATTCCCCAGCGTTGTTCCTCTCCCCCAATTCCCCAATAAAATCTTTTAAAAAACAAACGAACAAACAAACAAAAACCAGTGTGGTTTTGATTAAAACTGGCATAAAGAAAAACATAGAAATCACGAAATAGGTTGAGAAATTAGAACTTTGTGCACTGCTGGTGGGAATGTATTAATAGAATATTGTAGCTACCGTGGAAAATAATACGGTTATTCTTAAAAAGTTAAAAATAGAATTATATTATACAGCAATTCCACTTCTAGACATGCACCCAAAAGAATTGAAACAGGTTTGAACTGCTATTTGTATGTCCATGTTATTAGCAACATTATTCACAATAGCCAAAGAGTGGAAACAACCCAGTCCATCAACAGACGAATAAACAAAATGTGATATACACACACAATGTAATATTATCCGGCTTTAAACAGGAAGGAAATTCTAACATGCTACAAACTAGATGAAACTTGAAAATATTATGCTAAGTGAAATAAGCCAGTCACAACAAAACAAATATTGTATGATTCCAGTTATTTTAGTACCTAGAGTAGTCAAATTCATAAAGACAGAAAGTAGAATGTTGATTACCAGAGGCTGGGGGAAGGGACCATGGAGAGGTATTGAATGGGTATGGAATTTCAGTTTGGAAAGAAGAAAAAGTCCTAAAGATGGGTGGTGATGATGGTTGCACAACAATGTGAACACACTTAATGCCACAGTGCTGTCCACTTAAAAGTTAAAACGGTAATTTTTGTTACATATCTTTTACCACAATAAAAAAAAATGCTGATACCTATTACCAGATTATCCTCCAGAAAACGAATTCACTCTCAGCACTAGCACAGGTCATTACCAATCTTTTTACTGTCAATTTGACTGGTAGAAGAAAAAAAATGTCATTCCAAATGTTCACTTTAACAATCTCCAGGTCAGCGATTTAAAACAGATAATCAGCAAGAATTCTCAACGGATCAAGACGCTGGGAGAAAAAAACGTGGTAAGAAAGTCATTTTAACTCTGATTTTTAATACTGTAAATGGAACTTCAGCCATGGTCCTCCGATTTTCTGCATAAATATGTGCAAGCAAAAAAAAAAAGCTGTGAGTACAGTGCGCAGTTGTAATAGTGTTTTAATTTCTGGGTAGTTGTTGCTTCCAGGCATAGAAACAGGCGCTGGGGAGGAGAAAACGATACAGATACCAGCCTCACCCTCGAAGTGTTACGCTCTGGCCCCTTATCTGTCCCTGAAGAGTAAAGGGCGGGACCCACGGTGGTACGCATGCGTTGAACTCCTCGGCCCGGGAGCGGCCGCTCTAGGCAGCGGGGAGGTCGCGGGGTTCAAGAGGCTGGGAGTCGAGTGGGGCCTCTCCTCTATGGTAGGGGGTCCGGGACACCCTCCTCCGCAGTCAGTCGGTTACTGCCGGAAGTGAAGCTGCCACCTCCTCCTCTGCTTCCGCAGGGGTGCACAGGGGGGGCACATACGGATGGTCTCCGGGATGAGCGCAGCGGTAAGCCCCAGCGAGTCGGGGGATGGCGAGGAGGCCTGGGCTCGATTTCGGGGCGGGAGGTGGAGGACGGCCGTGGGGGACGAAGTCCGAGGCGTGCGGGGCTTTCTTTACTTAGGCGCGGGTCCTGAGCAGCCGCATTCCTAGACTGGAGGCGCGGATCTCCACTTGGCCAACTTCCCCATTCCTTCCTGAGAACCCCACGCCGGCATAAAAGACCCCTGAGCGTCGCCTGTGTCCCCTCGGCGGTCAGCGTCAACCTGTCGCCCAAGGGTCTCCCCAAGGAGAGAGGGAGGAGCGTCGCTTCTGCACTTCTTGGAGGGAGCCCTCCCTCAGAAGCATCTGCGGTAGTCTGCGACAATGTGTCCAGAATTGATTAGGTTCCTGATGGATGCCAGGCTGGGCTTCGGGTCTAACTGGCGCGGCAACTACCTGCCCCAAGGCAGAACGATCGCTCCCGTTTGAAAACAAGAGTTAGGGACGCACAGAAAGGGGAAAGTGAAACCGACGCGCCGTCACACTAGGGATAGGCTAGAACCCAGCTCTTGTGATTCCAAGCTCAGGGGCAGAAATCTGAACTTGTGCAAAAGGGAGTTTCTTTTTTTAAAAAAGAAACGGCAAATGAGAGTTAGGTTGTGGGTCTAACTGGGGATCTTTTGCAGGGCAGAGGAGGCTGCTCTCCTATTTGGTTGGGGAGGAAAGTGAGACCCCCCAGAAGCTGCCATGCCCTCAACTGTCGCCGTTGGGTCCTCCTCCCCAAAAGCCCATTGGTCGATCCATTGGGGGTGGTCTCGACGTCACTCTGAAAGGCCAATAGCAAGGAAATTGACTGTCTTTCCCCAGGCACACTCCAGAAGCCGCCTGAGTGCACGTGCGGGTTGGGTTGTTTTTGTCACGGTTTTGTAAACAGCCAGCTAGGGTGTATGATGAGCCCTGCGTTTCCTGCCTCTATAAAAGTGATGGAAAACTGTACTCTCCAGGGCAGTTCTTTTTTTCTTTTCTGAGTTCCAGTGCTTGGCGCTGGCATTACTTACATAGCTAGCACTCAGTAAATCCAACTGTAATAATTCTGTTAATAACACCAATCAACCATACGGTAGACTCTTTTCAAGTACCTATGCAGAGTTTCACTTATAAATAGGAAATAAGAGGCTCAGGGAGAATAAATGGGACCTGGTTTGGAACCCAGGTCTCTCTCATTCTTAAGAACATAGTGATTCAACTATACCAGCCTCTTCAGGGAGATTAGTCTATGAGCTGAGGAAACACACACAAATAAAAGTTACACTAATGCACAGAAGCAGGAAGGATTAATTTGGGTGTGTGTGGTGGGGGGAGTTAGTCATTAAAGATTTTTAAGTGAGTTGATTTGGGTCTTGCCAATTAGATACTTTTGACCCAGAAATAGTGTGGAGCTGTGTTGCAGTTGGAGGGAACTGTGTGATATGGAAAAATGGCCCAGGAGCATGAATTAATAGGTGGGACTAGAGTGAGTAGGTTGAGTAGTAGGGGATAATCATAATAATATTAGTAATAATATTAGTAATAGCTAACACCTATATTGCACTTACTATAACCTAGGCACTATTATACACATGTTAATTCATTTAACCAACAACCCTATCAGGAAGCTACTTTGAATATCCCCATTTTACAGTTGAGGAAACGGAGGCACAGAGGTTAAGTAACTTGCCTGAGGTCACACAGCTAATAACTGGTGGAGGTGAGATTTGAACTCAGTCATTCTGGCTCCAGAATTTGTACTCTTACTTAAAATGTTGTGTTGACTGCTAGCAGGCCATGAAGATTCTTAAATGACAAGCTTACAACTATGGGTTTTAATTCTCATAGTCAGTAAGGTTTTGAGCAAAGGAAGGGCTTGATCAGAATTTTGCTCCAGGAGGATGATTTGGGGAGTGGAGAAAGGAGGGACTGGAGAAAAGAGGAAATGAGATTGGTATCCACACCTTACCCATACCTTGTCTGAAACATATATTTAAGCATATAAGTATTCACTTGTACAGGCATACCTTGGACATATTTCATTTCAGTTTTGGTTTTGGTTCCACACCACTGTAATAAAGCAAGTATCACAATAACGCAAGTTGTAATCTTTTTGCTGGTAGAGGGTTTTGTCTTCAATTTGTAAAAAAAACCCTACAAAATAGTACCCGTGGAGCACAAAAAATCAAGACGCAATAAAACGAGGTGTGCCCATATGTAGTAGTTCTCTAATTCCCAAACTTCCACATGCATGAGAATCTCTAAGGGGCTTGTTTAACATGTACATTCCTGGGCCTTTCTCCCAGATATCCTTGCTCAGCGTCACCAAACTTACCAGGTGATTGTGATGGAGGTTCTAAGAAATTACTGTGATAGGGAGTCAAGTTTTTGTTGATTTGGTTTTCATCTGCAAATTTCTAGAGCCCAGCTCTGTGCCAGCTACCCTTAGGTTCCACGATAGAATTCTATAGCTTGGTTCCTGCCTTCAGGGAGGCCAGGATTTAGCTGGAGAGGCAAAGACTACTCAAACGGTCGTGTGCAAAAACTATGCAAGTGAGCTAAACCTCAAAAGGATATGTCAGTTTATAATATGTGAACTGTAACAGAACAGTTTAAAAAGCAATAGTTAAGGTATGGGTTACTGGTAACTACCAGTAGTTTTTTATCACTTTCTGAGTTATTGGACATCTACGCAGTGAATACAGGGTAGGTCACTGAATATATGCCACAAAACAGAAAAAAATGAGGATGGTCTCTAGAGAGAACCAGGACACCCTGCTCAGTGTTCTCATATTGCCCAACACACTCACAGGCAGTAAATCACGGGGCCACAAAGTTCAGGCAACAAGTCAACATGCAGTGAGCTCGCTACCTTTGCCCTAGTGATTTCTGACCCCATTCAGAAAGAAAATCTGACTATTCGGAGGTGGAAAAACACAAGGTTTTATACGGTAGGAGACTGAAGTGCTTCTCTGGTATTAATGAAAGCAAGTTTTCATCCACCTACAAAAAGTACACATAAAATTCTCTTTTTATTGCTATTTCTGACCCTTTACTTATATTTGAGGAACACTTCTTTTATTTCATCATCACTAGAAATGCACGGTCACTCTTTGAACATTTAATAATGTCTGCAGTAGTCTACCAGTGTTTATAGTGGTGTCCCCAGAGGTGGACTTGAGGTGTCAGAAATGGGGGTGCTCCCAGCCACCCTCACCCCTGTTTCTATTGTGAATGTTACTGCTTAATCATCTCATGCAACAGCACACTCACCTGAACAGCCACACACTGGAATGCATGTTCCAAAATGTTGCCAGATTCTAGTCCGTTTTCTCTCATTTGGATTTCTCAGCTTTGCAGTAGCAGCTTTTATGCTTTGGCCTAGGTGATAAAGGAGCAAATCAGTCCTCTGAACTAATAACTGTTACCAATTACATTATTGGGATAATGTAGTGCTATAAGTCAGACCAGGATCTAGAACCTGGCTCTGTCCTCTTATTAATTAGGCCCCTATTTACTCATCTGTAAAATGGAGATGATAGTAGTGATTATCCCATAGGATTGTTGTGCCTTTCACGTTATAAGGGCTCAGTAAATATTAGCAACTGTCATTATTCTCTGTGGTCAGGTAATATGTAATGAAAAGAAATGGCCATATAAAGCCAAAATCTTTCTATTCTTGTAGTGAACATCTTTGCTAAGAAATTATTGAGATCATATTTTTCAGACTGGAATCACAATAAATTAGCTCTTCAAAGGATTATTCCTAAAACGTTAGGTATGTACTGTGGTCACAATAAATGTCTTGTTGAATGAAGAGGAAGAACCATAATTATACACCAGTGAACAAAGCAGCTAGAAGATTATGATTTCTAGAGAGTTAACAATCATTACATAATGAGAGCTTTATAAGCTAAGGTAATAAAATCCTTAACTTAAGCTAGAATCAATGCATTGTTCTTTGATAAACTCAGTAAAAATTATTGTATTAATTGCCTTTCTTAAATGTGAGTTGGGTGACGAAAGAATCAAACAGGTATCAGCAGTGCCAACACCTCCTTCCGGATAGTAGCTCTCTGGATAAATCCATAAATAAATAAGTACCTGACCAAGTCAGACAAACAACTTTGCTTCCAAGGGGGGAATAGCCAAGTTCATTCCAGGTTCTTTAGTTACACACAATTAATTATTGGGAGATTGTGTGTGTCCGGCCCTTATTTAGCCTTCATAGATTTTTTTCAGATAACTATATATGTCAGTTAGGTATTTCTTTAGAAAAACATAGAAAAAGTTATGGTGATAGATTTCTTGGAATTGCCCAAGTCACTGAAGAGTGATAATTGTTTCCTATCAGTTGTGCCAACAGACCAAACCCATGAACATTTTAGAAAAGGTCAACTATACAGGCTACTCATATATGTGTATTCATGTCATATTTTACATATTAATGCTTTCTAAGATTTTGTGCCATTTCTTGACACTGAAATTTTAGAGGTGGTGTGTTCCTCAGAAAGTCCTCTCTCCAGGTGTTTTAAAGTCACACTGGAGAGATGTTAGAACCAGTAGTTGATTATGTGACATGGGCACGAAGACAACATCTTTAGGCATTCCTCACTTGGATTGGGAAGTGTCACCCACCTGGAACATGATATGGACGAAGGGACCACGTTTATGGAACACTTCCTATGTGCCGGAGCTTAACATGTGTCCTCTGAATGCTCAGGACAGCCCTGTGAGGTGGGCAGCAGTGACCCCATTCCTTGCATATGCTAATGTGAGACTTGGAGAGAATGAGTAATTTCTCCATGATCTCATGGCTCATAAATAGTGGAGCTAGGACTCAGAACCTGTCTTCTGATTTTAAAACTGAGGTGCATTATACTGTCTCTCAGATTCAGGAAGTAAATAATACTTCCAAAACAACTAAAATTAAGTATCTTAAAGGCCTTGTCCAAAATATTTGACTCATAGAAGAGCCCACAAACTCTCACTCCATTCATTTGAACCTAGGTCTCTGGGGATATGGTGACAATAAAGCTGATTTAGAATTTTTAGACTTGATCCCTGCCCTCAGGTTCATCCAGAGCCTTTCACACACAGAATCTGCTGAGCAGGGTTAAGCCTTTGAGTCTAAAGAAGAATAGAAGCAGTAATTTAAAATTTTGTGGAAAACCTCATAGGCTGTCACTTTCTTGGCAACGGTAAGTAACAACCTGACAGCATATCAAGAGACAGGAAAACAGTAAGCTGACAGAACTCCAAAAGCTTCCTAGCCTCAGGCCAGTTAACCTAGAAACATCATAAACTCATTAATAGACTCTGAAGGCATCACCTTATGGGATGACATGAAAACACATATCCCCAGAGATCAGGCAAGTAACAGAAAGGAGGAAAGCAGGTGCATCGCCAACTAAAGCCTGTCTTGCCCTGTCCGAAGGGGGCAGCTGCTGAGTTACTCAGCTTAAGCTGACTCTTGTCACATAAAATGAGATCCTATTTCAGTAGAAGCCAGGAATCTGGGTGTTTATGTGAAATCGGGATTTTTAAAAATTCTGGCATCAAATTAAAAAAAAAAGAAAAAGGAGCAGGAAAAAAGAAGGGGCAGAGGAAGAGAAAGACCACATGTTAGAAAGCAGAGGGGTGTAGTACGTTCAGAAAGCCTTTATCCCAGTGGATAAACAGGAGTTTTTCACCTTATCTGGGCCTTGGTCTCCTTTGAGAATCTAATAAACACTAGAGATTTCCTTTGGGAAATGCTCGCGTTACATGCTCAAGCTTGGCGTGTAATTTCAGAACAGGCAGAGACCTCCTGAAGTGCCTCTACAGACATCAATTGACACCTAGCTTTTTTTCAGAACCCAGTCTCCAGAGGTTTTGCCGTACTCTTTAAATCTGCGGTGTTCAACCTATCATTTTAAACTTGTCTGTTTGCAGTTTTGTAGACTTTCCCAAACTCAGGCATTCTTCCTGTTAGTTTTGAACTAGGTAATTAACACATGTAATTTCATGTGATGATTAACATGTCAACTGATTGTTGTTATGCCAATTCAATGCCAACAGGAATCCCCAATTTGGGGTACAGTGAGGGAGGAAACTTTATTCAATGCAAACAGTTCAGTAGTGCTACATACAGCTCAATTATGAAGTGGCATGGCTTTGGAATAGCACTGCTGCAAGGTGGCCCAGGGGTGAAGGCCCTCTCCATCTAGACTGCTCTGCTCTGCTCTGGTCTGCTCTGCTCCAGCAAGACGTCTCCTGTGTTTCAGCTCCAGCAGGGGAAATGCAGTCTTCAGTGGAAAGGAAAAGTGTCAATCTGAGCCAGAGGGGAGCTGACTTAATCAGAAGTCCCATCCCTTGTCCCTGATTGGTTTGTCCTTATGCAAATGAGTCTAAATCCTCAAAATTTTATTGGCCCAAAAAGGCACTGTCCTGATTGGTCAGAATGGAGCTGCTCTTATTGTTAGGTGAGGATGCTGATGGTAGCTCCATTTGAATGGGGGGAAGTCTCAGTCCTATTAGTTGACATCTTTCCTTTTTTTTTTTTTTTAGCTGAGCAATCCTGCCACCTGTTGGCAGCTCAACGGCAGCTCAGCTCAGGCTGTGAATCGAACAGGCGACCCTGTTGCTCAGAGCTTGCACTCTAGAGTGAGCTCTTAACCAACTGAGCCACTCGACTGGCCTCAGTCCTATTGGTTGAAATAGGATTCCAGGAACTCCTGTATAAGGGCTGACTCAGATGGCAGAAACACAGTGCAAGACAGTTCAGTGCAGGCTTCTCTGTGAAGTGTGGTTTGCATGAGAGGCCCCTATACTGCCTGCCAAGCTCTGTTTTTAAATTTGAGCCCAGTTAGCCACCAGGAGCCCTTCTCAATATGTATCTTCTTTGTCAGGGTCCATAAACATAAACCAAAGTGTAACCATGTGAACAGGGCACTGGTGGTGGGTGGGAATGGAATGACTCTCCTTGCCCCAATCCTAACCACATCCCCCTGGTCTTCCCTGAGGCCTTTGAGACAAGGGGAAAAGGCCAGGAGGCTTTACGGATATTCCAACACGTGCTGACTTGTGAAGGAGCTCAGAAAGAGCTAGGGAACCTTCTCACAGCACCACCTGCTGATAAGTGTGCCAAGTTTGTAGAGAACAGCTGTAAACATCCTCAGGAACACTCACTGGGCCTTCTCAAAGAGCCCTTTAATCATTGCCAGTGCAGGAGGGTGTGTTTACTGAAGTCAGAACACCACAGCTTGGAACTTTAGTGTCTGAGCTAGATTTTTATCACTGAAGAGGCACTTTCATTCTTTAAAAGTATTGCTTTCTTTAATGGAAATAACCCAAATACATACAGACAGAAATAGCAGAGAAGATCAACTGAATTTGGTTAAGATGTGTATTCTTTCTCTGTTAGCTTTCATCTTTTTCAATTTAGGGTAAAATGAAACTAGCATAATTCCTAAGATGTAGTCAAAGTCCACGCAGTTTCTAGTTTGTTAAAGACAATTATAAAACAGAGTTAGTGGTCACCTCAGCTTTTCAAAACACAACTTATAAAATACACTTTGATGTCAGTGGGTGATTTGTTTTCTTGCATAAAAAATAAACGTTCAGATCTACTAAGCTAGGAATTACTGGTGCATTCTAGTTTTAAAAGGCTAATTTGTGAGAAATTAATTTCAATATACATTGTCATTTCTCTGCAAATGACTGAAATCCACAGACATGGCTTCATTCTTAACTTTCAACTACAGTTTTGTATCTCCAGCTGCTCACTAGACAGTTGTTCTTGGAAGTCTGTCATCACCTCAAACTGAGCCTATCTAAAATTCAGCTAACGTTTCCAAGATTGGCCCCATTTGTTTACAGTGACCCATTTCTATCAGATGTACTGTTCTTCCCTAGTTCTGAAACCTAGCCAGCATCTTTGATCTTTCTTTCTCTCTAGTCACCAAAGCCCATAAATTATTTTCGTAAGATCTCTCTAATAGGCTGATCCCTTTCTTAGCCACCTTTCATTTCTTTGCCACTTTCATTTTTGCCACTGTAGTCCTAGAAGTGATAACTCCTCACCTCTAACTTATCCCAGGCTAAGCCCTCCTTCTTAATGAGATGTATCACCCTCAAGCACAGCTTTGCTGATCTCATTGACTCTGAAACCTCTATGTGCTCCCATCAGCCCACCTGTCATGACCTGGGCACACAAAACCTGTATCTATCACACACTGCTCCCCATGAAAACACTGAGCGCAGCAACCACGTCAGGCCCGTATTTTCTGACCCCCTACACAGCCCTCACTGGAAGCCTCAGCATCTTCCCTCTGACACTGAATCCTCATGTGCTCATGAATGTATCTAAAGAGCCTGCCCAGGCTCCAAGCTCATAGGAGATGTTCAGTGAGGAGCAACTGTTCAATTATTGGGATAATACTCTCCACATGGCAGTTGTTTAACCACTATTAGCCAAATAAAGGAACTACATTATCAAAATGATTCCTTTTGTGCTCGCTTCCGCAGCACATATACTAAAATTGGAACAATACAGAGATTAGCATGGCCCTGCGCAAGGATGACATGCAAATTCATGAAGTGTTCCATATTTTTAAAAAAAAGATTTTTTTCCCAAAAACCTGTATAACACCTCCCATTTCCTTAGCAATTTGAAGAGACTGCCAAAAGGAAAGCACTTAGAAATTTTTTTAATGTTCCTAAACATACAAATAATGAGCAAATATGATTATCAGAAATAATTAAAATTTATCATTAAGAACATTTATTCAGATTCTTCCAAAAAGAAGTCTTTAATGGGCTTACAGAAGGTCATTACCTTCTTTACTATGATCTATTATTCTGAATAACTGTATTAAATATACATTTAAAAATTTGTATTTAATCTTTTAAATTTATATTTATCTAATTATCTTAGTACTGGATGAGGAATCTCTATTCCACATGAACACTGAGCTTAAAATTTAGTTGTGTTTATCTCCTATTGGTCCTAGGCCAAAAGAAATACAATATAGTTTTGAAAATTTTATATATGTATTTTACAATTATTATAATGTCATACATTTTCATTAAGAACAACTTGGTAAATACAGAAAACCTAAATCAAAACAATCATGATCCTTCCCCACCCAATACACCCACTACTAATACTTCATTGTATTTTCTTCTAGTCTTTGTTAATAGATTTGTTTATTTAAATATAGTTATCAGGCCGGCCTAGTGGCTCAGTTGGTTAAGAGCTCGCTCAAGAGTTTGAGCTCTGAGCAACAGCGGTTCGATGCCCGGCCCTAATTGAACTGCTGCTGAGCTGCCAACAGGTGGCAGGTTGGCTCAGCTAAAAAAATAAAATAAAATAAAATAGTGTTATCATGCACTGTGTAAACTTTTTCACCCTATAAATGGTGATAAAAGGCTCTTATCACTGCATTGGAAAACCAAGTACATTTCTACCATTTTAGGTGTACTTACTATATGCCAGGCTCTGTACTAGGCCCTTTACTTGCATTCTCTTGTTTCATTCTTAAAACCTCCCAGTGGATACCTGAAATGCATATAATATTGAATGTCAACTATAATTTTTAAAAATTTATTAAAAAAAACGATTGAGTCAGTGATCCAGAGGGATCCGTATTTGGGGGTTACTATGGACTCTTCTACTCAAGTGGTCATAAAAATTCTTGGAATTAAAAAAAAAAAACCCTCCCAATGGGGTACATGCTATACCACCCCCATTTATACATGAGAAAGCTGAGACTCGAAGAGGTCCAGACTCCACAGCTGGTGAGCTAAGAACCCAGACAGCCCAGCCCTGGCACCTGTGTTCTTAACCACGGTGCCTGCAAAGCATATACATGGGGCTCTTCTCTGCGTGACCAGTGGGGGTGATGGACAGTGATGTACTCTCTTTCCCTTCACAGTAGTGAGATTGAGAAATTCTTACCCACCAGTGCCCACACTACGGTGATACCAGGATTATGAATAATCATTTCTTTACCCCCTGTTTACACCACACACCGTCCTAGCCACTTTACGTTCAGTCTCATCCTCACAAAAAGCCTTGAAGGTTTCCATACTGTTGAGGAAACAAGCTCAGGGCTCAAGTAACTTTTGAACAGTCACAGACCTAATGAGTTGGAGTTGAGATTCTCCATCATACTGCCTCTCAATAAAAAAATCTAAGACCCAAATGAGAATGAGAACAGTTCTCTGCTATTTGCATATTGGTGACATTAGCATGTTTCTACGCCACCAAATTAGCCGGATGCAGAGGGCATGCGATGTATGTTTGGGCTGATTTGGGAGAGGGTAATATTGAGCCGTGGGAAGGTTGACCTGGCAAAGGGCATCTATTGGGTTGTTGGAAAAGTCATGACGTATTTTTGCTGTTTTTCATTGCAAAAATGCATCATGACTTTTCCAACAACCCAATAGAAAACAAGGCTTCAGTCGCTTCCTGGAACTGCTCCTGTGGGAGCCTCTGAAATCAAATGCTTATAAAATAATCACCTAGTGGGAAGGCAGATTTGTTTGGATAAAATGTGTTATTTACATGAAATACATCTGTTATTGCCAACTCAAGACATTTTACTGGGCCAAGAAGCTGGTTTATTTACAATCACACACACTGAAGGATTTTAGAAATTTAATTGAGAAAACTGAGCTTAGAAAAATTACATTTTCAAAAGAAGTTCATGAAAGAGAAGGATCTAGAATTCTCCACACTGCCTCCCTACGTCTATTGAACTTTCCAGTACACTATTTTGGTTTACCTAATTTTAAAAAGTATGACAAATAGGCCACAAAGAAATTCAATGATGTTTATCTGGTTTCTGGAATATGAATTTTTAGAAATCATATTTGTTATATTTAAAAATCGGCTTTCATAGAATGGTAGTAATCTCAAGCGCCTACTAAACTATTTGTCCTATTTCTGTTGCTCTCTTTTTTTCTAGATTTAATGATGCTTTGCAGCAATTTTCTAAGTCTGAAATTTTCTTTGCCTGTGGATCCTAGAATTTGCTAAGAGATGGAAGAGTCTCAGCAAAATGATCTGAACACGATGTCCCTTGAGAAAGATGACCCTCTCAAGAGCACCGGCCCTCAGATTTCTGTTAGTGAATTTTCCTGCCACTGCTGTTATGACATCCTGGTTAACCCCACCACCTTGAACTGTGGGCATAGCTTCTGCCGGCACTGCCTAGCTTTATGGTGGACCTCTTCAAAGAAAACAGAGTGTCCAGAATGCAGAGAAAAGTGGGAAGGTTTCCCCAAAGTTAATATTCTCCTCAGGTAATGCTCAGTCTATGTTGGTAGCACATACAGCTTGTTCAGTGTGGTCTCCTAATGGTGCAGCCATGTTTGAAAAGGCCGGAGGTACAGAGCCAACCGCCACGTGGTCATTCAGATCTGCTGGAATGTGAATCAGAGAGCTCAAGGGCCTGAAAATCCAGAATCCCTTCCCCATAGGTGACTCTGATTTATTATTATAAAAGAAAGACATTCTGGTTATCAGTCCGTTGCTTGTAATCCTTTGCCATATAGTACTTTTTATTGATTTGTATTCAGAAACACCTTAGGTCCAATAGAGAAAATGGTGTAACTGTAGTGGTCTCAATAATTGGTTTGATGCTGATTTTCATAATCTTCAACTAAATTCTGATCCAGTCATCACATTAATGGAGGTAAGTTCTCATGCACAGCATCACACGACATGGCAAGACCTTTCAGACAGCAGGCTATTCCACTCATAATATTCCTAACGTTCAAAATTCTTGGAGTATGTTGCTTATTGTGAGCTCTTTGAGGTGAAATTCCTTATCTCTTCTTCTGTTGTCTTCTTGATATGAAGAGTACCAGAAAGTTCCATGAAAACATTAACCCAACGTTCTCTTTTTTCACAGGAGATGTATTTACAAATACTTTGCTCTTACCTGTCAGCTTTGTTTTACCTGAAGGTTAGTCTTAAATTGAAGTAGGGTTCTCTGGTTGTGTGTAATTGAAGATGAAAATAACCCTACAGTATGACCTGATGGTTGGTCTTTCTTTTACTTCTGAACTTCACTTTTTTCCTTTTTATGAATTTTTTTTTCCTGGATTTAACTTTTAATTTTAAAAACAAGAAAAGCAGAAACTAAAAGCCTCCTAGGTTGGAAGTGGGCGTGAGAGGAAATCTGAATTAATTTTTAATAACAATACATATATACATTCATTTACATTCTAAAATATTAGAACATTACTGATAAAGCTAACGACCCCTTTGACCCATTCCCCATCTTACAATACTTCTTTCCTTTTCCCCAGAGTAACTTCAGTTATGACTTAGTTGTGCTTTCTTTCAGGTTTTTAAAAGTATTTTTACACATATATGTGCCAACAGGAAATGAAAACATTTTCTCACATCAGTGGTGTTCTATCTGTATGGTTCTAAAGTCTACTATGTAGTGTTCCATTGTATGAATACACCATGTTTTATTTGTTTCCCTAACAGTAGACATGTAGGTTGTTCATTTTTTGCTGTTATCAGCAGGGCCATCACCAATCTTCTTGACCATTCTCCTAGAGTATTTGTCTATTATTCAATGTTGACTATTAGTTTTTTTCTGTCCTCTAAACATTATAAGTGTGTCTCATCAAAGAACTCTCATGATTTTTTTCTATTCTCCATAGGGATGCCATTGAAAAATTATTTCCTGATGCCATTAGAATGCGATTTGAAGACATTCAGCAGAATAACGACATAGTCCAGAGTCTTGCAGCCTTTCAGAAATATGGGAATGATCAGATTCCTTTAGCTCATCACACAGGCCGAGCGAATCAGCACAGAGGAGGGGGATTCTTTTCTGGAGTGCTCACGGCTTTAACCGGTGTGGCGGTAAGTCGATCGCACTTCCTCTGTCCCCACCCTCCACACTTTCCACTGAAGTCAGTGCTGCTGAAATACACCAAAACGACTGATGACATAACTGCATGTGGTAATTCACTGCTGGGCTGTATGATTCTTTGAGGACGTTACTTACTCATGTATAAAACATAATATTCAGAGCCCAGTAAGTGTTAGCTTTATCCCATTTCCTCTTCTTCATAAGCTATGCAGTAGGTACCATTATTATTAATAATAATGGGTACCATTATTATTCCCCTTTTAGAGATGAGGACACAGGTGCAGAAAAGTGTTAGAACTGCATTTGACATTGTGTCTGCCTTGATGATAGTCTTGAGTATAGCACTTTACTAACTTCCATGAAGAGACTACTTCTTTTTTTTTTTTTTTTTTTTTTTTTTTNTGAGCCATCCTGCTACCTGTTGGCAGCTCAGTGGCTGCTCAGCTCGGGCTGGACTCGAACCGCTGTTGCTCAGAGCTCAAACTCTTGAGTGAGCTCTTAACCAACAGAGCCACTCGGCCGGCCCGAGACTACTTCCTTTTTAAGTTCCAAGCTGCAGAAATCTAAATGTTAACAAAGTTCCCAGCAGAAAAGGCCCATGAGTTGGTTATGTTGGCCAGGTTAGTGGGGGGTGAGGGTGCAGTGCCCCCAGGTGCCCGGCGATGAGTCCTGCTCCTGTCTCTGTGCCCTCACCAGCAGCGGTGATGTCCTGCTTCTGTGGACGGACCTGACATTGTCCCCTTCAAGCTCAGCCTCTTCTCTTCCTCATCCCACATTCACAGCTATAGAAACGAGCATCTCTGACCTTTCTGTGTCTTAAGGTCCCTGTGACTTCTCCCCAGGTGGTCCTGCTTGTGTATCACTGGAGCAGCAGGGAATCTGAGCATGACCTCCTTGTCCACAAGGCTGTGGCCAAATGGACAGCGGAAGAAGTTGTCCTCTGGCTGGAGCAGCTGGGCCCTTGGGCCACTCTCTACAGAGACAGGTTTTTATCTGAAAGAGTAAATGGAAGGTAAGGAACAAAATCTTTGACATGTCACTGACATTTTTTTAAACAGCTTCATTGAGATATAATCCACATGCCAGAAAATTAATCCATGGAAAGTGTGCAATCAGTGGCTTTTTATATATTCACAAATATGTGCAGCCATCACCACAATCTAGTTTTAGAACATTTTCATCACCCCCAAAAGAAAGCTCTTACCCTTTTCCCCCTCCCTCTGCCCCAAGCACCACCATTCTACTTTCTGTCTCTGAATTTGCCTATTCAGAGTATTTCATGTAAATGGAATCATACAATATGTGTGATCATTTGTGTCTGGATTTTTCACTTAACATCATATTTTCAAGGTTGTAGCATGTGTCAGTGCTTCCTTCCTTTTTATGACTTAATAATATTCCATTCTATGGCTAGACCACATTTTATGTATCCATTCTTCAGGTGATGGGCATTTGGGTTGATTCCATTTGGGGGCTCTTATGAACAATTCTGCTATGATTGTGTACAAGTTTTTGTGTGGACATATATTTTCAATACTTTATTGGAGTAAAATTGCTGGGTCGTGTGGTAACTGTATGTTTAACTTTTTGAGGAACTGTCAAGTGGCTATACCATTTTATGTCACTGACATTTTATTTTATTTTTTTAAACATATTTTCAACTTTATTAGATACTGCCGATCTGTTCTTCAATGCAGTTGTTTATACTTTTTCCTTTTTTTTTTTTTTTTTTTTTTTTTTTTTTTTTAGCTGAGCCATCCTGCCCCCTGTTGGCAGCTCAGCAGCAGCTCAGCTTGGGCCGGGCATCGAACCGCTGTTGCTCAGAGCTAGCACTCTTGAGCGAGCTCTTAACCAACTGAGCCACTCGGCCGGCCCTTATGTCACTGACATTTTAATGTGTTGCTTCCTGATTATAAAAGTAACATATATTTATTATTTATTTAAAAATAATATAGAACTAAAGGATATTGAAAATGAAATCCCTTATAATCCTACTCTTCAGAGAAAACCAGTGTTATCATCTTGCTGGACACCTTTCCAGATTTTTTTCATTGTTCATGCAGATATACACATAGACATGTGTATTATTTTATTTATTTAAATGGTTGTACCAAGCAGACCTGTGCTTATATGTACATATGTATGTGTCTGTACATGCTAGAGTCTATTTAATTGATCTCTACAAATACACATTTGGGTTGTTTCCTTTTTCCTGTTCTAGACAGTTCCACACAAAACTAGAGCCAAGTGCCTGGAGGAACTCATTGGGATGAGCAACTCACCATGTGGGGAGGCCTGCTTCTGCCCATCGACAAACCCCTGCCCCTTCCAGAGCCCTTGTCTGTGTTTATGGAGTCCCTCCCTTCCCTGGAGGGACGGTAGGGATGTTACTTAGAACACCACGCAGTGCTAAGAATAGCTGCGCTCTCTAATCTGCTTGTTTTAGACTTGGAGTCTACTCACTGCCCCGGTGCCAGGCTGTAACACCTTCCCACCTAGTCACTGATCCCCCTGAATGAGTTTTCAACATTTGACTCTCCTTTGGGGAAACAAAACGCTTCCACTTTGATTATCTGTTTTTTTGTAAGAATTAGTACACATACACACACATTTACATACCCCAGAATTGTGGTTTAAAAAAAATTCTCTACCTAGTTAATACAATATATCTCTGCATTACTGTCTTCCTTCTGCATTAAAAAATACTATCAAATTACCCGCAAAAGGACGTATGCTCCTCCAACCGTGGTTGTGGTGACCTCCATCTGCCAGGGCATAGGGATGTGTTTTTCTGACAAGTCACTGTGGAGGTGGATTCACGTTTTCTGATGAAAGGGAGCAGATAAGAGAGCTACAATTATTTTTATTAAATCACTGCCCCCCAAACAACTACTCTTAATGTCATGTTTTATTAGATTTCTTTTCCAATTTTTTTTCTATACACACATGTTAAAACATAGAGTAACATGGGAGGTCAAAGTGCATAGCAAAAAGATCAAAGGTTAGGAGCAGAGCAGACCTGGCTATGCCTTGGGTGACTCAATCTCTCTCAGCCAATTTTCTCATCCACAGAATGGACATAAGAATTATTAAATGGGTCAGTGAATATTTATTAAAGTATTTTCAGATAGTCATTGGCAAATAGCATTCAACTGTTTGCTGTTGTTAACATTATTTCATATATGAAGTGTCTTACCTTACTTCAAGGCTAAGGTATTTGTGTTATAAGATTGAACTCTGACTGTGGAAAGTTTGCTTCCAGTATTTAATCTCAAATCTATCCCCTTCCCCACCGCAGACTGCTGTTAACTTTGACAGAAGAGGAATTTTCAAGGGCGCCATATACCATAGAAAATAGCAGCCACAGAAGAGCCATCCTCATGGAACTGGAGCGTGTCAAAGCCCTAGGTGTGAAGCCCCCCCAAAACCTCTGGGAATATAAGGTGAGCTCTTTATTTTTTTTAATTGAAAAAGTACAGAGAGCAGCACAGCAATCATCTGCATGCCCACTGCTTAAGAAAACATCACACACATGATCGAAGCCCCCCACCCTCCCACCCTCTCTAGAGGCCCGACACTCCTGCGGTTGGGCTGTGCATCCTTCCCGGGCATGCTTCCTACATGAATTATGGGAGTGTATCTGCAAGCACTAGGACTATGTTCTCTAGGTTTTTAACCTTAACGGAAGAGGCATGAACTGAGCCTATCCTTCTGCAAGCAGCCTTCTTCTCTGTGGCTCCAGTTCACAGTTTGGGTGCAGTATTCCACTGCATGAGACCGTGGCAATTTATGCATTTTCCTGCTGATGAACACTGAGATTGTTTCCAATTTTGCTGTTAGAAACCATGCTGCTGTGGACACTGTTTTTGAAGTTCTTATGCTCATACACATGAGTTCCTTAATGGCATATACTGAGGACTAGGACTACGAGGTCACAGGTAACATACATCTTCAACTTGACTAGATATTGGTAAATTGTTCTTCCACATGACTGCACCAACTAGTTATCCTTCAAAGAGTAGATTTTGCAAATACCATACTGTAAAACGTTATAGAATATCTGGAATATTCCGATTTATACCCTAAAAAAGACATGATAGAGAAAAATAAATAACCAGTAAGTTATGGAAACTGCTCATTCCTAATTAAAGAAATACAAATTAAAAGAACCAGATGTCATTTTTTCACCTATAATATTATCAAGGATGAAAATGTTTAAGATATGAGGAAAGAGGCGCTCGTGTTTTGCGGATCATAAACTGGTGCAGTCTCTTTGGAGAGCAGTTGGTCAATAATTATAACACTTTAAACCACGCCTCCTCTTGAATCTGCCGTTTCACATCTTTGCATTTAGAGCACAGGCAGCACAGCACTGTGATCAGGAGAGGGCTTGGGCCTGACTGCCAGGCTCCTCGTGGGGCCCCTCCTGGACACTACAGCAGGTGTGGGAGCACCGGCAAGCACCCAGGACTCGTGGTGCCCACTTCCTCCTCAGTAAATGACCTATAGTCATAGTGAGAAATTGGATGTTTGAGTCACAAGAAGTCTTTCAACAAGATGTTCACCATAGCATCATTGGTAACAGCAGCACGTTGGAAACAGCCTAAGTGCCCATTGTTAGGGCCAAGTGAGATAAATAAGGCACCTCCACACATGTGAGCATTACAAAAGGAGGAGGTAACTCTGGGGGTGCTAATAAGGAAGGATGCCCACGTTGTGGTGTTCACTGAAAATAAAGAAAAGCATATCAGGAAATATACACATTTGTACACACGTATATGTTTGCATATTCATAGAAAATTTCTGGAGGGATACACAAACTGTTAACAGTGTTTTCATCTGGGGATTGATAGTGGGATGGGAGGGTGAGTTTTGTCACTTAATACATTTCTGTACCATTTGAAAAAAATGTATTTACTATGTACATGTATTACTTTAAAACTGAAAAACCACTAGTTTCAAAGAATGGGCATGGAGTTCCAAAGTAGAAAGTTCGTTGCGTGTGTGTGTGTGTGTGTGTGTGTGTGTGTGTGTGTGTTATTATTTTTGTTTTTTAATTTTAAAATATCTACTTTTTTATCATATAAATTATTAGTTTTGTTAATACGGTCAAACTCTTTTCATCACCAATATTAATCCTATGTTGGGTTTTAATATCTGGGGGAACATATCTGGGTAATGTAACCAGCAATGACCCTCTATTTCAAATAGATAAATCTTAACATTAACCAGAGTGAATGGGAGGAAATGTGAATGTGGTCCTGGTATAAAAGCAAGCAGTATCGTATCAGTCTGCTCATCAGATTTTCATGCTGCCAGCCCCTCCTGAGGGTGGCCATTTGAGGATTAGGATTCCTCCAACCTTAGTGAGCCCGAGCAACGCCTCTCGAATGCCACTATTCTCATCAGATGTGAAAGACACAGCTCCCCACTGTAGTGCTGTCATCATAATCACCTCCCTGGGTGGTTGGTTTTTCCTCCTTATCTGATAGCAAGTAGCCAAGAGTTGTAATATTTTGGTGCTACATTCACATTGACTCCAGACCGACAAATATGTAACTTGGTCATCTCCCTTTCTCATGTACTAAACCCTGATGTGGCTGGATGCAATCAGACTTTTTTCTGGGACCTCTATTCCTTTAGAGTGGGCATACTCAACAAGGGCAATATCACTCCAAGGCCACTGGTTCCTGGAGGGTGAAAAAGTCTTAGATATTACAATGATTTGTGATCTCCAAAAGACCACAGTACATAAAGCATTATACACAGCATTATCTGTGGTATTAATATTTCATGGGGGTGGAGGGAATTATGAAAAAACAAGTCTTTAAAAGGCTCCTTAAGAGGTGATAATGAAAGAAAGTTGGGAAACACTACTTCAGAGTTGAACTGCTCCCATATATGTCTGTGTCTCACCTAAGATAGGATACAGATATTTTAGAATTAAAATTATATTAGATTTAAAAAAAACTATTAGTATGTAAAATTTCAAACATACACAAAAGCAGGATAAAAAAACTGCCATCTACCATACCAGTGACAGCCACTCAGGACCATGTTTATTTCAGCAATACCCCCACCCACTCCCACCCTGTTTATTTCAATGTTACTCTCTCAAAAGTAAAGACTTTTTTAAAAAATGAAACTAAAACACCACCATTGTACACCCCCCAAAATTAACAATACTCTGATATTATCAAATAACTTGTCGGTATTCAAATATCCCATTTTTGGGGTTTTTTTTTAGTTGATCTGTTCCAACCAGGGTTCAAACAAGGTCCATATTTGGTTGTTCTGTCTCCTATGTCTCCCTTAGTCAATAGATTCTCCCTACCTCTTTTTGTTACCCTGCATTTATTTGTTAAAGAAAGCAGATCATTTTGTCCTGTTATTTGCCCACGTCTTGAATTTTGCTGGTTGTCTCCTTGTGGTGTTACCTAACAGGTCCCTTTGTCCCCTGCATATCCTATAATCTAGTAGTTAAATCTAGAGGCTTGCTTCGGTTTCAGTTTGGTGTTTTGGCAAGACTACCTCATAGGCGGTGGTGTTGTCTTCCACGCAGAGGCTCACAGTGTCCAGTTGTCTCGCTTTTTCTGATGGTCGCAGCCACTGTGATCACGGATTGTTTCGATCCATTAGTTCATTTAGGGGTTGCAAAATGGTGATATCGTAATTCTTTGATTTCTTCATTTGCTAGCTGAAATACATCTTTTAAAAAAATATCAAAATGGAAAATTTCCCTTGACATCCATTTTGATTACCCTAAGTACAGTTTATACCAAAAGGCAGGTTAAGTACTTGACTCTTTCAGAATAATCATTTGGCTCCATTGTCCTCCAAAGGTGGCCAGTTTCTTTCTTTAGGATCATTATTAACTGGGAAGTTTAACATTCGTGATGTGTTTGAACACATTCCAGTACTAACTCCCATCTTTTTTGAGTAGGAGTCTCCTCATTTTCAGAGTCCATTTTCTAAATTTAACTTTTGAATTGAGTTGTAATGTACTTGCTAGTGCATCTTTTTGACATGACCTCATTAGTCTTTGATACTTTCCTGTCTCATGTGACAACATGTTCAAGTTACTCTTGCACCTTTCCTGCCCCAGACCTGGAATCAGTCATTTCACAAGTTAGACCTTTTAAAAAAAATATTTTACTACAGAAAGCTTCAAGAGTATACAGAAACAGAGGACAGAGTGTAGTTATACCCAGCATCAAGTATCCACTCATGAGCATTCTGCTTTCATCTGTACCCCTCCACCCGGTCCCCAAACCCCAATCCTGAGATCCTATTAAAGCATAACCACACATAGGATTCTTTAACTCTTAAATACTTTAGTATGAATCTCTCTCTAAAGATGACTCTTTTTATTTTTTGAGGGGCGGGGGGAACAATGTGTTTTTCTAGGACCCATCAGCTCCAAGCCAAGTAGTTGTTTCAATCTAGTTGTGGAGGGTGCATCTCAGTGTCCCATGTGGGGATCGAACCGGCAACCTTGGTGTTATGAGCCTGCACCCTAACTAACTGACCTAACTGGCCACCACAGAGCTCTTTTTTTAAAATGTAACCGTTATCACACTTAAAACAATTTAATAGTAAGCCATTAATAGCATCAAATAAGTTGAATATGTTTTAAGTTTTATCAAGCTATAATTAACACACATATTTAAAGTGTACAATTTGACAAGTTTTGACATATGTACACACCTGTGAAACCATAACCACAATCAAGATAGTGAACATATCCATCACTCCCAAAAGTTTCCTCCTGCCCCTTTGGAAGCCCTCCTTCTCACCCCTCCCCATTCTAAAAAGTGGTATTTCACTGGTTTAATTTGCCTTTCTCTAAGGACTAATGATTATTGATCATCTTTTCATGTGCTTATCTGCCATCCTTTTATTTTCTTTGGTGATGTGTCCATTCATATCTTTTGCCCATTTTATTTGATGCTTAGTAGCACCAAGTAAGTTGAATCATTTTACAGTTACTTTCATAATCAGGAAAAATATAAATACTCATTGTAGCAAAATTTACAAAAGTAAGGAAAATGAAAACAAATTCCCCATAATCCCACTTGAGATTCAAGTATGGTTAACATTGCATTTTGCTGTTTTCTTCTGAACAATTTTCTATGCATAGTTCCTTTTCGAATAAACAGTCCTTTTCAAATAATTTTTATTTTTGTTTTATTTTTTTTAGCTGAGCCATCCTGCCACCTGTTGGCAGCTCAGCGGCAGCTCAGCTCGGGCCGGGAATTGAACCGGTGATCCCATTGCTCATAGCTTGCACTCTTGAGCGAGCTCTTAACCAACTGAGCCACTCGGCTGGCCCAAAACAGTCCTTTTATTCCTGTATTCATTCCACAGCTGTTTGTTGACATCTGGTGTGATCCTCTAGGAAAGGGATCTCAGCCCTGAACGAGGCCTTGCTTTCATGGCGCTGACACTGTTAAGATCAGATTGCTACACATTTTTTTAATCTTTTCCACCTAGAATTGTATCATGAGCATTATCCACAAATTCTCATATTCATTTTTCAATGGTTAACTATCTCCTGTAACTTCATTACTTAGGTCATAGATTTTACTTTTTCCTTATTATACACAATGCAGTGCTAAATATTTTGTGCATAAAGACTTCTGTATTTTAGATTATTTTTTATTAAGGGGTGCCCACTAATAGATTGGTTAAATTAAACATTTTTAAGACTGATACATTTTGCACAATTGCTTTGCTTTCTGAAAAAGTTGTGTTCTAGTAATGCCCAGGAGTATGCTTCTCATCCCCCTCCCCCTCTCCCCAGCTGTGGAGATTGGCTCTTCATGTAATGTAGCCCAAAGATTGATTACTTAGCCTCTTCTTGCCATTCATTCATTCATTCATTCATTCATTCATTCATTCATAGTTTATGCAAACCATACAGAAAAAGCTGATGGCAAAGGGTTTGAAGCTGTGGAAGGAGTTGGGTGGGAGCTGGCCGCCATGGTTGTAATGTGACCCTGTGCCCATGTCACCCTCTGCAGGCTGTGAACCCAGGCAGGTCCCTGTTCCTGCTGTATGCTCTCAAGAGTTCCCCCAGACTCGGTCTGCTGTACCTCTACCTGTTTGACTACACAGACACCTTCCTACCCTTCATCCACACCATCTGCCCTCTGCAAGAAGACAGCCCCGGGGAGGACATCATCACCAAGCTTCTGGTAGGTCTGCAGAGTGCCTGGAGTGAAATTCCTCTACCATTTCTCAGTGTGGTACACAACTGGACACATGGCTGTAACCTGTCATGGAAGATCAAACTACACCCAGCTTTCGTTTGAATTTTGCAAGGAGAGCCCCTACAAAAGAAAATAAAGCAGGAACTTCCCCACTCCCAGAAGCCTGTTTTATTTCCTGCATTGCATAGCAAGAGGGGCTGCCTTCCGGACTTCAAATATTTAGCGGGAGAAAAGCCCAGCATTGCTTTTGTTATAAAAGAAGATAGCGTCAGTCCAGATTGCCCGAAGATTAGATTTATGGGCCTGCCAGCTTGGTAATCTGTCTCTCAATAGGAGCCCAAAAGATGATTACTTGTCCTACCACAAGGCAGAGGTAGGTAGCATCCATTCTGTTGGCCTCAGAGCAGTACACCATCAGTCAGCTCACTGATGGGATTGTCCTGTCACCTGACCACAGGGCACTTGGCAGGGATGGTTACCCAGCATGGCTCATTTCTTCAGTTTGATTCATGGATTCCTTCAGAATTGTTGGTGCATCCCATTGACTCAGGGTGATTTCTCTGCATCTGCTTGGTTGTTTGATGAGGGTACACTGTCCTTTGCATTGATACTCTTGGGGCAATCCCTCTATCTGTTTATTTCAAAAAGTCACATGGATATAGGAATCGTTGTATATGATCCACACCCATAAATGTTGACATAGAATTCGGAAATCTCCAAAGACCCTTTTTTAAACATTTGGGTCAAGTGCCTGCCTAACAGACTCCAGCACTGCACGTGGTTTAAAGCCAGCCAATTAGCCCCTTTGCACGATGTTTCCCTAATTACCCACTGTCCAGCTGTTGCCTGTCCTTGCTGGACTGGAAGCAGAGACACCCCTCCTGGCATTTCCATTTTAACAAGTCCCAACAACCCGCGCCCACTCATCAAGCTGCCTTGTTTCTTAGAATGCTTAGTATCCGCTCCACTGTAGTCTTGTTAAGCTCCCATGAGCTTTCTGGGTGCCTATGAGTTGTTTAAATACTCTTGTTAATCATCTGCTAATACCTGTAATTAAGGTTTTTTATTTTCACAAAAAATTACTTTTTCAAGGTCTATGTTTAATTTTTCCGTGACCTACTGTTATTCTACCACAGCTAAGATATTGAATTTAGGAAACTGAGCTACCCATGCAGTGATGAAGAAATTTTAAAAGCTAGTTAATTTCAATTCATTTCAACCCCATTATTTATAACTCATGCTTAGATTTTTACTTTTGAGTTCCCACAATTATGTAACAAGCATCTCAGTTCAACCTCTTCGGTAACATTTATCCAATGTAGATTAATTAGTACAAGGTAAGTTGATGGATGGAAATTTCATTTTATATTGTTGACTGTGTGTTTTAATAAATGTAAAACTCACAGGGATAACCACAGTATTTTGTCTAAAAATCAATCCTCATGATTTTTCTTGTCCATTTTTATTTATTTTTGTTTGCATGTAATTTTTAAAGGATCTCCGAGAGCCCACATGGAAGCAGTGGAGAGAATTCCTGGTCAAATACTCATTCCTTCCATACCAGCTGATTGCTGAATTTGCGTGGGACTGGCTGGAGGTCCATTATTGGACATCACGGTTTCTCATCGTCAATGCCATGTTACTCTCGGTTCTGGAATTATTCTCCTTTTGGAGGATCTGGTCAAGAAGTGAACTGAAGTAAGTGTGTTTATGTTGTAGATGGTTAGAGCGACAGGGCCTGGTAAAGCGTCTTTGACGTGTTACTCAGACACGAAGTCTCCTCGGGCTGTGGTTTAGAAACAGCTACTTAAGCAGCAAATAGGAAAAACGACCTTGTGTTTGGGGGGTAGGGAGGTTTTCATGGTGCTCATTGTTAAAGTGTTTCTCCATTATTATCTTACCCCCACATAAAAATCTACCACATAATTCCTGGGGGTGGACGGTACACATGAAGGGTTTTAATAATTAAGGAATAAACAACTGGGGCTAGGGTACTTTATGGAAAACAGCATTGTGGTAGAGCATACAGTAATGAGGAATTCTGTAAGCATAGGTTCTAATCCTGCTCTGCCACCAACTGAACAATAATAACTTCTCTGGATTAATGTGTAAAATGAGACAGTTGGACTGGACAGTCAGTCAGTGAGTCAGGACTCTTGGTTGCAAGTAACAGAAACCAGCCTAAATTGGCTTTCCTAGAAAGGAAAATGCCCAGGTTAAGGCTTCCTGCATGGCTGGACCCAGACACCCAAATGCTGTCATCGGGACTGATGCTTTCCCTCCCGCATCTCCGTGCTTTCCTGTGTTGTTCAGCCTCAGGCAGCTCTCTTCATGTGGGGGCCCTACGTCACTGCAGGCCAAGAGCTGAGCTTAGAGACCTTTGTGGAAGGAGACCACTTCTTTCCCTGGAGCACTTACAAAAGCCTCAGGGCCTACACGCCTTTGCTCTGATTGGCCCAGCCTAGGTCACATGTCCACCTGAACCCATCACATAGAACTGGGGGGGTATGTGGGGCTCTCCTTGTCCAGGCTCAAGGCATGCACTCATCCCCCCAATCAGGAGCTGGCTTCAGCCCCACCCAGACCACATGGGAAAGAGGGGAGGGAGGCCCCCCCCCCAAAGGAAAACTCAGGTGTTTCCAGAATAAAAGAGGTGGTTGCTGGGCAGGCACAAGTAACACATCACCACACCAGCATCTGAGCAGCCTTATATAGTTCTGAGAACCTGACAAGAACCCCTCTCACTTGTGTTAGTTCGGTGAACTCATTTATTCGTGCACAGCTGAGCCCCTACTCTGCCCTGGCTCTCTGCTGGGCACCGCAGATCTTTTGGTAAGGAAGACATTCTGTACCCTAGAGGCCTACAGCCTAAGACGGAAAATAAATTTGTATACATTTAACGTATATACAAATGGGACACAGCGACGAAGCAGGTGGGGCTGGGGCTGTAATGGGGATTCCTCACCTGGTGGGGGTACCACACGAAAGTGCCCTGAGGAAGCACCTTCTAGATTGTGTCAGGGGAGGTGAAGATGGGTTGGTCAGGCAAAAGTATATCACGGGCACCAGGGACAAAACGCAAGGTCTCTACAGCACAGGCCACCTGACTGCACTGGGAAACGGCCCAGGTCTGAGCGCTTGCTTCAGTGTCGTCATGAGGACCGCCATCGTGCTCTCAGCTCTCAAATGCTTCTCTTCTTTTTTAGGACCGTGCCTCAGAGGATGTGGAGCCATTTTTGGAAAGTATCGACACAGGGGCTTTTTGTGGCCATGTTCTGGCCCCTCATTCCTCAGTTTGTTTGCAACTGTTTATTTTACTGGGCCCTGTACTTTAACCCAATTATTAACATTGATCTCGTGGTCAAGGAAGTCCGACGGCTAGAAACCCAAGTGTTTTGACTGGCACTGCCCAGGCTCTGAGGGACTCTGCCAGCCTCCCTGATGGATGAGCTTTTGATGCTTAAGTGAAGGGGGGTGGGGAGTGGACTTCCTATTTTCTTCCCCCAGTAAACAAGGTGCGGCTTGTCAAAGGCTACAAACCAGGTCCTCTCTCCCTCTGCCTGTGGCATTGTGGCAGCAGGGACTGACACCTCAGAGCCAGGCTGACACAGCAGCAGCACCTCCCACCTAGCCGCCTTGCTCACAGGAACTTGGGAGACCCAGTCCACACTGGCCTGGAAGGACCGAGGGTCTTCAGAGGACGTGGTGTGGGCGACATCAGAAGGCAGTCACATCAGCAGCCCAACTTGTCCTAACCTCAGTGACTGACAAAGGCTCCCAGGGCAAGTTGGAGCCCTGAGACTGAACCCAAGACCAGGCTTGTGGGGGCCAGGCCTGTCCTCTAAATCACGTTTAGTAAAACTGGAGATTTTGTCATAGGCATAGATGGTTGCACATAAAAAGTACAGAGGAAAAACCAAAATCTAAGAGATGATTCTGTCTCACTGAAGAGTTGCTAGGTTTCAGAGTTAAACCTCGAAAAGATTCAGTTTGAGACTAGAATGATAGTTAGACTTGTCACTGTTTCTGACTTGTAATCTTTGAAATCTTGAAAGTTGGGATCCCTTTCTCTGAGCGGGGGGACTGAGTGGGATGTCAGGCAATTAACTGCAAGTAATTGACATCAGGCTGAGCTGCCTCAGTGCTACTTAAAATTGTTATGTTTTGGGGTTTGCTTTGTTTTGTTTTTAAGAATTTAATCTATAAAATCCAGGATGGTCCTTTTGTTCAAGGAAACATTTTATACATTGACCTCACACTGTATGATCTTTATCATCTTGTTCTGATGCATAAGACAGCAAGTCTAATTACACCGAACGCTGTAACTGTAAATAGGAATGAAATGAACGATGGCCTCTTCTTTCCTTCCAGTGTGAAAATAGGTGTGAAATGTGATCGACCCATCCGAAGATGGGCCCCGCAGAGCTAAGCTTGCATCCAAAGTGTTCTTTTGTGACTCCATGAACCATTCATTCATTAATCCTTTGTATCTTTGAAGATTTCACTCAAACTTTGCATCTCAAAGTTCGAAGAAATTACTTGAAATAAAAATAAAGATTTTTTTTTATAAAGATAAAACTTCTGTATCGAGAAAATAGTTTGGAAAACATGAAGAGAATCTGCACTGCCTGATCCAACCTACTTGTCATGCCTAAGGTCCCTTGCCTGAGGGGAACACGGAGCCACGGAGCCACCCTAAGGCATCTTAAGTGAAAGGAGGAAGAATGTTTCTCTTCCTCCTGTGTTTGCTCATCAGGCCCCAGGGCGACCTAACTACCTGCTCAACACTCGTGACCTGCCAGACACACTGACAGCACTGCAGGTTTGGAGACACTGCAGGATTTGCACATCCCTGGTCTCTTGCCTTGTGGGTTTACTATTTTCCTTTCCAGATGAAGAGATGGAGCCTGGGTGACAATGGCGGAGCTGGGCCCAGGCTGGGCCACAGGTTGTCAAGATTCCCAGTCCAGTGCCCCACACCTACTCCCCACATCCGGCTTCCAAGATGAGTGATTCCCACATCTGCTCTGGGGAGGAGGGCAAAGGAGACTTGGCCTAGAGCAAACGGCTGCGCTGGACTCTCACTCCTTACTGCCAGCCGGAGTGACGGACACTTCAGAGTGAGAGCCACAGGCTGCCTCTCCTCCCTCAGACCTTCTCAATCATAGCAGGCTTAGGGACATCAAAAGGGTGTCTGTTTAAAATATTCAGACTCTTTGATGCAAGAATTTCATTTCTGCAAATCTGGGTTAAGAAATAACGAAAAGGTGGGCGATGAGGGTGGCAAAGATTTATTCATAAGCATCCTCATCCCATGATACCTGGTCAAAATGGGAAATATCACCAATATCCAAAAGTTGGCAATCTAAAATGATATCTATTTAAAATGGAGTTTCCAAAGATTTTTTAATGATATGAAGAAAAGTTTATAAAAATCATAAAATATAGTCTCAACTACATTTTTAAAAATTATAGAAAAGACTGATGACAGCACTAAGATGCTAAAAGTGGTTATTCTGGATTGTAGGAATTGGAGTGATTTTTTTTTCTCCTTTATATTTCTCTTTCTTTTTTTTAAGCAGTGCATACATAATACTTTTGTAATCAGGAAATAAATTCTAACCATTAAAAGTGGAGTAGGATGGGGAAGAATACTCTTTCTAGCTAACAAATACTATACTTGAACTTCACAAGGGTGGCCGTCTTGTTTATTCCTCAACCCAGAACCTAGATCAAGGCCAGGTGCTTAGCAGGTCGTTGTTCACATCTGACTACCCTCCATCGGGAGCAGCTTAGAAGACAAAATTCAGCCTTTTCGTAAAGGTTGAACCTCAAAAATTGTACCAAACCCAATACAGGCATAAACACAGTTGTGGTTTTATAAAATAGGCATGGGATTTTGACCTTAAACTGCAAACCAAACAGGCTCCAACCCCAATTTCCAGGACGGGAGAGAAAGCAAACACAGGTTTGTAGCTTTAACGCTTGGCCTCAGTTCCCCCCTGCAAAGAACTGAATGTGGCTGATGATTAGTGAAAAGGAGTTTTATTTCCTTGTGCAGAAGAAAACTTCAAGTCAAGCTAGTTAGTCACAGTTGAGCAAGTCCTGCCCACATAAGAAACGGGGGTAGAAGAGGTACTTTAAATTATACTCCGTTTGGGCTAAGCAGTAAGCAATCTCCTGGTCACACCTGCACAAGAGTTCTTGACATTTGTCCTCTGCTGGTCCTGGAAGAAATGGGGAAACTGTGGTTAGAGCGCAGACTTGCAGAGACTTGAGGGTAAACAGGAGGGAACCCAGTAATGCTGTTGACAAAAAGGACCATGAACTGCACGTGACGCTTGACAGGTGACCACGTGATGCTTGACAGGTGACCCACATGCTCTCCATCTTCACGGGCCCTCCAGGAGGGAGGTGATGGGATCCCCATTGTGCAAAAAAGGAAATCGAAGTTGCCAAGGAAGTGTTTTCGGATGAAGAGTCCACAGCCTAATTGACCTTTCGGCTTTGCTTTTGCATCAATATTACACCACCATGTTGGAGGATCCGTTTAGATAAGCAGTAGGTGCCTGGGAACCATCCAGGCCGTTTTTTCTTGCAAATGCCTGCTCGCCTATTTCCTAGCCGTGTGATCTTGCCTAAATGAGCCAAGCCCTCATTTAAAAATGGGACATTATCCACTTTGCAGGGTTACTGGGACGCCTATGGAAGGTGCCCACAGGGAGAGACCTGGCACTGTCCATGCACTCAGTCAGGGTTGGCTCCACCTGCATGTCGCCACCTTCTTTCTCCAAGTCTCTTTCAGATGCGCCTTCAGGAAAAACAGCTGGTTGTAGGTAACGCTCGTGTATACCATCTTTCCCCTCCATCCTGGGCCTGCCTTATACAGAGATGCAAAGTTTACCACCCAAACATAAGTCTCCCTCTACCTTGGGAATTCCACTACTAGAGGTGCATTACTTTGGGTTGGAAAGATTTTGTTGTCTTCAAGTTGTATCTTATTAATCTAGAGGGTATAATGCCTTAGACAGCTGTGGATATGTCACCTAACCTGCCACCCACTGCCCTTTCGGTGTGGGCTTTAAATTATTCACATAAATGGCGGGGGGGATGAAAACACTTACTATTCAATCTTTCCAAATTCATTTCAGAGGCACAGTGAGTGAAGCATGAGTTTTAGAGTTAGCCAGCCCAGCCATGGGTGTAGTAGCTATGTGCCTTTAGACACATCACTTCATCCTTCTCGGGCTGTTTCCTCAGGTGCAACATGGGGACACTAATAGTACCTACTTCTAAGGGCTGTTGGAAGAATGGAAAGAGACGAAGCTGGTAAAATGCAGGGCACACAGGAGGCACTCAGTGAGCTGGAGCTGACCTCCTCAAGCTGCCAGCTAATCTTTAGAGGTCCCTCTCCACATACTCAAGTTCCTTGGAGATCCTAGCACGAGGAAGCACGAAGAGTCAGAAAATTCATCAGCTTCTCTCCTGGGGCAACGCCCAGAGAGCATGGCAGCACCAGGAAGGGAACACAGTGATGGGTGGAAGTGTCGCGCAGGAGGCAGGGGCCCAGCACCCTCTGGCAGCCATCTTTCCAGGCCCCGTCATGAGCTGAGTTGATTAAACGTGTTCATCCGCATGACTGCACACAGGGTTGTCCAATCCACTCAGTCAGGCCTGTGGCAGCTTCAAGGTTATTCATTTAAATCCCCTCATTTTTAAATGATAAACCAACTATTAAATAAATAAATTATATTAAATTACATTAAAGAAATTCTATCACTGCCATAAATGGAAACCAAAATTTTATACCATAAATATAAGAAACTGATACCAAAAAAAAAAAGCAAAAAAACAATATAGCCAGTGAGGATAAAGTTCTAGTATCAAAGTCTAGTTAGATGCTGTTGCCCACCTGAAGGCTGTCAGTCTAAGAGAAGTTTAGCCTCTGTAACAGATCATCCCACAACTGACACTTCCTCCTTGCCTAACTGGAAAAATTAACAGAGGACTGGAAGGGAAATTCTCACTTAAATCCATTCATTAACCTTCCCACACTCTGGAACAAACTATTGTGAGGAAGGGCAAAACACACCACACATAATTCATTAAATGGATATCAAAAAAAGTAGGGACGATAGGAACTTGTGTTTATTGTGCAGTTATGTGGAGCCAGGCCCTGGCACAGTCCTCTCTGGGCAGTCAGTGCCACTGGCACCCCAACCTTACAGAACAGAAATCCAGGAATGGATGAGGAGACGAGGGCCCCAGCCCAGCCCTGCCCAACGCCTGGCCTCATGGCTTGTCCACAGGAAGGGAATGAAATGTCAGCTCAGGGCATGTGCCCGCCCTTACAATTCATGTTTATACCACAGGATTTGTAATAGAGTTTTAATAATGTGGGAAACAGCTTATACTTAAGAGAAAAAAATAAGGAGTACAAAACATACTGCTATGTTAAAAACCATATATGCACTAGAAAAAGACAGGAAAAACACCAGGTTTACCAAGCAGTTGTCTGAGTAGCGTCTATGGGACTTCTATTTCCCAAAACACTTTTACATTTTGTAATTTCAAATTTTTCTGCTTTGAGCCGTATGATGCTTTCATCATGGAAAAAACAATCTCAACAAAATTTAAAGAGTGGCTATTTCAAGATTTAACTTGCGATATTTGTTACATTGAAAATATCTATACCACTCAGTGGCAGTGCCAAAAGGAGGTGGCTTGTGGGGGCTTTAGTGGCCTTCCTCCTCCCTACCTTTTACCAGGTCTCTTTTTACCCCCTCCCGACCCTCTACAAATAAACACAATTTACATTTTTTCAAAATGCCCTTGCCTACGACAAGTTCTCTAGGCCTCCTTTCAGGCTGCCCCCCAGTCCTGCTTACATATAAATTCTAGAAGTGCCTCAAATACACCATTTGGTCCAACATTTCTAGGACTCAAGTGTTACAAAAACCCTCACACAAGTGTATAAATATTTATGAACAGCCACCGTCTCTGCAATCATGTACAACGGTCGACGGGAAAATGGTCAAAATAAAATACATTCATGCCATAGACCAGACATTCTCAGCCACGGGCGGCAGTTCTGTTCCCCAAGGGGACATTTGGCAATGTCTGGAGACATTTTTAGTTGTCATACGTCAGGGTATGAGGGGGGTGGCACTACTAGCATCTGGCTGGCAGAAGCAAAAGATGCTGCTAAACATCTACAGTACACAGGACAGTCCCCCACAACAGAGTTATCCAGCCCAAAATGTCAACAGTGCCAAGACGGAGAAACTCTGCCTTAGGTTGTTATCCAGCTTTAAAAGAATACAGTCAACCCAAGGTGTTCAAGACACAATGGTCAGTGACAAAAATTAGAAAACATATGTAGTGTGATAGGCTTATTGATTCTATACCTATACATTGACATATATACTGGGGGTGCCAAAAAAGTGACATTGACAAGTGGACACTGGTCAGTGTTGCTCAAGCAGTAGTTCACCATCATCAGAAGTGTCTGCATGCTGATGGGAACCACTTTGAGCACCTCTTGTAATTGCAGAAGTCAAACGTGACTTGTATTCATCTATTGTCATCGGTATATATTCAGTATTATGATTTTAATAGTTTTTTCCTTTCTTAAAATGTGTATACTTTTTTTGGCACCGTGTGTGTGTGTGTGTGTGTGTGTGTACATACATACACATACATGCGCACATGTATGTATATATATATATATATATGCATGTGTGTACTTACAAATCTGGAGGAAGAGATGCCAAACGTAACAGAAGCTGGTTAACTCTAATGGGTGGAGCTGTCTAAGGACAGGGTGACTGGGACGCATAGCCCAGCCAGCTCCTCTTCCCTCACCCATCCATCCATCAGCAAGTCAGGCAGCTGCGCCTTCCAGCCAGTATGTCCTTCCACCACCTCTGCTGCCACTGCCTGCCCAAGCCACCGCTCATCAAGACCACTGCAAAAGCCTCAAAACCAGGGCTTGGCTTCCCCTCTTATTCCCTCCAGGGTATGGTCCATGCAGTAGCCAGAATGGTTCAGTTAAAATGCAAATCACATCCTGTCCCTCCTCTGCTCAAACCGCCTCGGCTCCCCATCTCTCTGGGAGGAAAGCCTCCAAAGACCTCGGGGATCTGGCGCCCACCTCTGACATCATCGCCTACCTCTCGCACCCGAGGTGAGTCTTCTCCAGCCTCACCGTGCTCCTTGTGCTCCTCTAACCACCCAGCTATGCATTCCCACCATCTCGTCACGTGGCTCCGCTCATTCCCAGGTCTCTGCTTCAATGGCATCTTCTCAGCGAGACCTTCTCTGGCCCCTGGCCATTCTATATAAAAGAATATCCCTCACCCTGCATGCCTGCTTTCTTCAATAGAGGAAAAAAATCCCAAAACAGAATTGACCATTTAAACCAGGTGAAAGGGTACAAGTCAGTGGCATTTAGTACATTCACAATGTTGTGCGACCATCACCTCTATCCAGTTCCAAACCTTTCTATCACCCCATACACATTAAGAAGTCGCTCCCCATTACCTCCTTCCTGAGGCCCTGGCAACCACAAATCTGCCTTCTGTCGGTACGGATATTCTGGTTTTTTCATATAATTGGAATTACACAATACGTGACCTTTTGTGTCTGGCTTCTTTCACTTAGCATCATGTGTTCAAGATGCATCCAAGTTGTAGCAGGTATAGTACTTCACCTGCTTTATTTTCCGACTCAGCACTTATAAAAGCACTAGGCAAAGACACGCTCGCCCACTCTCCTCCTTTCAGACCACAGAGCCTGGCTTCTCTGTCTTGTCTAGCATGGAGCCTGGCACAGAGTAGATTCTCAATCAAATTTGTTGGAAGAATATAGGAAAGCCATACATTGTTTCCAATTCTCACACAAACGCAGCATCTAAGCTTTATTATTCCCATTTTACAGATGAGGAAAGTGAGGCTCAGAGCTGTTCACTAACTTGTCCAAGGCCACAGAGCTAGGAAGGGGTGGACCAGAACTCCAGCCCAGGGTCTCCTGACCCAATGCCTCTGCTTCCCTTGTGTTCCCATCCTCCTCCCTCAGTAAGAAAGGTTCTTTCAAAAGCAAGAGTTGGTCTCACTGCTCCATAGCCTCAGGAACCCAAGAGTATCATGTTATTCAAGAATAATAAAAATTTTAAAAGAAAAATAGCTCCCAAGGGTTAAGTTTAAAATAAAGGCCTGCCAGTAAATATTATTATAGGCTTAAAATTTTTTTTAATATATTTAAGTCAGGCCCATAAATGGAAAATGGGCCACACCTGTAATTAAGTAAACAACTATGTTCAGAATATCTCCAAACAGAATAAGAGAATATTTTTAGCCAAAAATGCATAATAGATATTTTGGTTCTCTTAGTCTGGTTCAGGGAGGGCAGTTCTGTAAACAGGCACAGACTCTACCAGCAGAAACACCAATAAATATTTTACAAACACCATTTTTACATGGTTAGGGGCAAGTGGAACATGCAGGTTGAGGGGAGAAGGGAAAGGCCTTCAACAGATTTCCAATTCAAGGCCCATTTCACTTCCTCTCCACCCCCACTGGAAGAGGGCAATTTGGGGACAGGGAATGTGCCCAGTAGTAGGGACATCACCACCACGCTAGGCAAGTCATTTCTTTCCCTGGGTCTAAATGAGATGGCTGGACAAGATGATGTCTGGGGTACTTTCAGTCCTAAACACTGATATTTCCATATTAATTTGGCTTTGCTCTATGCCAGCTCCTAAGTCATACTAAGGAGATATGGCTGAGAATCTGTACATATCTAAGAATACCTTTCTAGGAACGCCTATGATTGCCTCCTCCCCTCCAGAACAGACCAAGTTGCTGGGGTGTCAATGGAAAGTCACACCAGAACCTCAGTTCTCTCTAGCGGGAGGTCGTGGGGTCAGAGAGAGTTTCAGATCAGGATGAGAGAGGGAGGAGAGGGGGTGGGAGACAGTAATAACCCATCCAATCTACTTATCATGTTATAAGCCTCTTTATCTTTGCAACACCCATCTTCAAGGTAAAGAAACTGAAGACCAGAGAGGTCATCCATCTAGGGCAGGGGTTGGCAAGCTGCGGCTCGCGAGCCACATGCAGCTCTTTGGGTACATTCCATCTCAAAAGTGTGCCGATCCCTGGAGGAGCCAATCCTGTCCTTCACAACAATTTAAAAATTATTCAAGAGCCATAAATATATTTTTACATAATCACCATTATGTGAATATCCTTTGAAATTTTTTACAAATGAAACTATGATAAGTTTTATTTTCATTTTCAGTTTTACTTCAGAGCCACATGTACGAACCCAGAGCCGCAGGTGGCTCGTGAGCCACAGTTTGCTGACCCCTGGAGGCTCTTCCGTCTCAAAAGTTTGCTGACCCCTGATGTAGGGCCAAGTGATCTTCAACAAGGGTACCAAGACTATTAGTGGGGAAAGGAGAGTCCCTTCAACAAATGGTACTGGATATCCACATGCAAAAGCCTGAAGTTGAACGCCTACCACACACCACATACAAAAATTAACTCAAAGTGGATCAATGACCTAAATATAAGAATTCAAATGATAAAAACTATTAGAAGGAAACAGGGGTAAATCTTCATGATCTTGGATCTAGCACTGGATTCTTAAGCTAGGACACCAAAGATATGATCAACAAAAGACAAAATAGATAAACTGGGCTTTATCAAAATGAAAACTTTTGTGCATCAAAAACATTATCAAGGGCCGGCCGAGTGGTGCGATGGTTAAGAACTGGCTTGGAACGCCAGAGGGCCCCGGTTCGGATCCCACATATGAGGACCAGTGACACTGCCCTCCACAGCTGAGATGCTGAACAACAGCTCAACCTGGAGCTGGGCTGCCGTGAGTCGCCGGCGATGGCGTAGGCTGCAGCCCCTGTGGCAGTGGGTTGCCATGGGCTACTGTATGTGGCCAGCAGCCAGCGTAAGCGGCCAGCAGCCGCTGTGAGCGGCTGTCCAGAAGCCGGCGACTGATCTGCCTCGCCCGGGAAGAGCGCAATGATGGTGCCAACTTGGGCCAGTGAAGCAACGTCCTCCACAACTAGACTGAAGAACAAAACGACAGCAACTTGTCTGTTCCCCTCCCCCCAACTCCCCAGCACTGTTCCCATCCCCCCAATTCCCCAATAAAAATCTTAAAAAAAAAAAAACATTATCAAGAAAATGAAGATAACCTACAGAATGGGAGAAAATATTTGTAAATTACGTCTGTGATAAGGGTGCAATATCCAGAATATATAAAGAACTCTTACAACTCGACAACAAAAAGACGAACAACCCAGTTAAAAATGAACAAAAGACTTGACTAGATTTTTCTCCAAAGATATAAAAATGGCCAACAAGCACATGAAAAGATGCTCAATGTCATTATAGAAAATGAGATATTCTAATCACTCTCCCTAATGGATACCAAGCACCAGAAGGCAGCCTGTCCATCTATCATCCATATACCTTTTTATTTTGTTTTGATGCATGTCAGAGAAATCTGATCAGTGGACTTTACCCTTAAACACATCAGGCTGTGTATTCCTTTTCTTTGTAACTTTCAATCCACAAGTAATTCATGAAGACATTTTCTTTGTAAAAAATGGGAACGTGACAGAGAACATGAAATCACCATCTACCATCACTCTCCCCAACCTGATCCGGTCCCTAGAGACGACCAGCCATCCTCAATCTGGAGTGTATTACTACGTACCTTTTTCTGAACTTTGCTATGTCTACATGTAGCCATGGAAAATAGCAGCACTATTGACAAGTTTCTTCTTCCTTCTTCCTTTTTTTTTTTTTTTTAACACAAATGGTGCTTTATTGAATGTGCTTTTTCACTCCACATCCTTCCATGTCAGCATATGGTTCTTTCTACCTTATCCTTTCTCCAGGCTGCAATCTTCCACAGTGAAGATACATCATGGGTTTATGTATCCAGGCCCTGTCTGGTGGACATTTAAGTTGTTTTTTTCTAGTGTCGTTTCTATCTTTTTCAGTTCTTGCCCAGACAACAAAGACATGGGTTTCTTTATTTTTTTTGTAAGTGCTCAATATTAAAGATCACTTATATTAGATAAATCCAAAGGGTGGTCTATGCAGAGTTAGAAGAAATGGTAAGTTATTACAGCCAGGATGCCCAGAGACTCTGGGGGAGGCTGGTGTAGGTGTTGCTGGCGACTCACCACATACGATGCTCTGATTGACACACTTCCAGGAGTAGGGCTCCACCTTGGTCTTGCAGCCAGCCTCCTCATGGGCATGTTGGTAGCAGCAGTCGTGATGATGACAGCACCTATGGGTGGCAGACAGGCAGACCAGCAGGTTGGGGAAGGCAGGGCTGCTCTCCAGGCCATCTCCCCATGCCAGGGCTATGGGTGAGTGAGGACCCAAAGGGGGACAGCATCTTCTGGTCCAAACTTTGTCTGACAATCCCTATCTGGGAAATAATTCTGCTGACTCGTGTGTCCTACACTGCCTCCATGCCCTGGCCATGCTCGAGCCTGGGCCCTGCCTGGCCCCTGCCTGCTTCACTCTCAGAGTACCTGAGCTCCAGCAACACCCACCTCCTCTCTGTTGCCAGAGTGAGCCTGCCTCTTGCCTTTGCCCATGTCCAGCCCTGTGCCTGGGACCACTTCATATCCACCCTTCCTCCTTTAGTTCTCAGTCCAAGTACCAGCCCCCACTCCCAGGATGTCATCAGGACCCCTGCCTCCCCAGGCTATAAGGGTCTCCTTGTTATACCCTCTCATAAAACCGGTTCCTTCGCATCAGGGCAGGTTTAAAATGAGACACCCATTAGCGAGATTAACTAACATCTGTCCTCCTCACTGACCAGAGGTCTGTGAGGACGGGACCATTTTGTCCTGTTCCCCTGTGTCACCACCATCCAGCCCAGGGCCTGCCACATAATAGGCCCTCAATTATACCTGCCTATCATTCATTCATTCACTGGTATTCTCCATCCAGCCATCAGCCTCACTCTGTGTTGAGCCCACAGCTGGATCTGGTAGGGAGAGGTCAGCCAGATTCCACTCTGCCCTCACCAAGTTCCCAGTCTGGTGGGGGAGGCAGACAAGCCACCTCATGCCACATGCATGGTGAGAGGCGCTGGGATGTGGGGTAAGGACAGGGGATTCTGGAAGCCAGAGGGGGTGCTGCACCCAGCCAGGATTCAAGGAAGGCTTCCTAGAGGGGTGATGCCTGAGCTGCATCTGGAAAGATATACAGGAGCCAGACGACCAGAGCGTGGGAGGCCATGGCTGGCAACAGGAACCTTGAAGGCACAAAGCCGAGTAACGACCTGGTAGTGACAATCACATCCTCCAAGCTAGGGAGCAGACAATCAAATATTGCTCCCTGCCACCTAGTAGCTGTGTAGAAATAGGTGACTGGCTATGCCTCTCTGAGCCTCAGGGCCCTCATCTGTAAAACGGGAATAGCCATCGTACCTGTCTCCAAGGAAGGCCGTGAAGGGTAAACGAGAGGAAGACAGGGGAGGATCTAAGTCCACAGCCTTGCACACAACAGCCACTTCTCACAGGGTAGCAGCGCGCAGTGATTATTGGCCTCACTGCAGCCAGACTGCCTGGGTTCAAATTCTAGCCCCATCCCCTACTCTCTATGTGGCCCCAGTCAAGTTACTTCATTTTTCTGTGCCTCAGTTGCCTCATCTTTGAAATGCAATTGTAGTAAAGACTCAAAGGGGTTCTCAGAGAAGCTCCTGGTGCATTATATTCTGATGAACTTCATGTTATTTTTTTCAGCCAAAATAATGATTCCATGGCCAGGTTCCGGGTATGGGGGGACTGCTGGCACCATCTGGCCTCACCGGCCATGTTACCAGAAGCCCTCTGACTACAAGGTAATACCATGTGCTATTTCCTCCTAGGCCTTAACTTCCCCAGGGATGGGAGACCTTCTAGCCTGGCCCGAGCATGCACTTACCAGTCAATGGCATCCAGAGGGTGGCCATGGCCACCCAGGCCACAATAGCAGCCATAGCTCACATAAGCCAGCGGGCTGCGGGGGCCGACACAGTCTATGGTCTCTGCCAGTTCTATGAGCCCACGCCGGTGCACATGTGACTTCAAGGAGGCTGGGGGGAAACAAAGGTTAGAGGCTGAAGGTCAGGTCTGCCCTGTCCCCAGGGAAGGTCACCGGCCTGAGAAGAGCCTGGATGACTGCCTAGGTTTAAATCCTGCTCCTCCTACTTCCTAGCTATGTGCCCTTGGACAACTTACTTAAGCTCTGTGGGCCTTGGTTTCCTTGTCTGTAAAACAGGGGGGTAAAAGGAACTCACTCCATAGAATAAAAGGAGATCATGCACGTAAAGCACCTGGCATACAACAAGCTCTAACTATTAAGACCAGTTCCCTGCCCTTGTGAGTATCAGACGCAGTCAGATTGCAAGTTGTGCATCAAATGTCTATCCAGCTGCCTGTGATGAGCTCTAGACATCAGAGATGAGCTAAACAGGGTCCTTGCCACCTAGGAGAGCCTCTCTATGGGGGTTTCCCTGTCCCTGTTCTGCCCCACCCCGACTAGCCCTCCCCTCAAGACTCTGGCTCAGGGCCTCTTACATCTCCTCCTACTGTCACCGCCCAGGCACAGCTTCCTCCCTCACAGGGAGGCCCTGTGGCCCATGGCTCTGACGCATCACTGTAGGTACAGCTGGAACCCTTGCATTTCACAAGTGAGAAAGAGGAGGCCTAGGCCAAGAAGGATGACCACCCCCCCCCAGTCACATGGCCAACAAAAACCTGCCTGACTGGGGGACTCCAACCCAGGCTTCTGACTCCCAATCCAGTGTTCATTCCTTCTCGCCTCTTAGCAGCAAGGGAAGGAGGCCTGCCAGAGGCATCGAGAGGGCCACTGCCTGGAGCCAGGAGCCTCCACACCCACTGTGACCTGGGCATCAGAGAATCCCTGAGCGATTCCTCCTCCTGGTGAGGGCAATGAGTCTACTCTCTGGCATTTGGTAAAAAACAACAGAGTAACAGCAGGAGATGCAATCACTTGAACGTCACCCTGCACCAGGCACTGTGCTCCCCAATTTACAGGCGTCACCTGTTGTCAATGGTTTATGCATTACATTTGGTCATCACGTCTCTTTCGTGTCTTTTCATCTATAACAAGTTTTTATCATACTGACTTTCTTGAAGAGTCCAGGTCAAAATTAAATCCAATTTTGTTTTTTCTCAGTGGAAAAAGTAGCAGATTCATGTGGGGGAACAGAGGTGAGTTAAATAGAAACAAAACGTAAAAACCCAAGTTTCCAGTTCCAAACTTCTGCTTCTTTTCTGGGTGACCTGTCCTCACTCTCCCAGGACTTGCCGAGTGCTGCTCCCAGCTGTCCACACCTCCTCCTGAAACCCACCACCCTGCAGATAAGACTCAGGGCCTCGCTCAACCCAGAGGCCCCGCAGGAGCCGGCCCCTCCCTCCTCTCCAGGGTCCTGGCTCAGTGCCCCCTGCATGGACCCCACTCATCATTTCCTGTTCCTCCAGTTAAACCCCTCACATATATCCTGTGCTGCAGAGGTCCTCACCCAATCCTCACTCACTCACCTGCCACCTCCAGCTTTACCCCCAGCTGACCACAGCAGCCCTTGTCACATCGTGCTGCTGTCGTGCTGTCGGCTTATGGGAGTGACCTTCTAGTCTGGGGGTTCTCTGAGAGCAGACCTCTGCTGTAGGCAGCTCCAGATCCCTTGGCACACAGTGGGCTTCCAGAAAAGGTCCCACCAAGTCCCAGTCTAAGCATACCTGACAGTCTTAACCCTATACCCCACAGCTGTCCCCAGAGGTCCCTCACCATGACCAAACCACGCTCTGGCATCTCATGGTCCTGGGCACTGCCCTATGGAGAACCCAAGCATGGGGCAGACGCCCAGCACAGGGTTTGGAACCAAGGAAAACACTCCCTCCGGGCCAGCTTAGGTGGGGCAGGTCACTCTTGGGTCTGTTTGCTCTGTCTGCCCACGGCAGCCTCTGCTGGGAGTGCCAAGGCTGTCCAAGCTTCCTATCTTCCTGTGGGCCTGAGGATGTGTGTGTGTGTGTGTCTCTCTCCTTGGGGTATCTCTGCCTGTGTCTGTGTATGAGCCTGTCCATGACCCAAGTGAGGCTGGGGGTGTGTATGTACATGGTGTGGAGTCTGTGTATTTCCCTGCGTGTGTGTCTGTGCACCCCAGAAACGGGCAGTCACTGAGGAGTGAGGGGACCTCTCCAAGGGGGAAGACCAGCAGTGGGTGAGAAGGCAACCTATGTTCTTCCCCGACCCCAGGTAGGACTGCGCCCCTCCTTCCCCTGCTCCTCCCAACATCTGATGTCCCCCCCCCCGCCATTGTCCTACCTCAGACCCCAGGGGCAGGTGGAGTGACCAGTCAGTTCACAGGCCCCCAGGCCCAGTGGGTGGGGAAAACTGGTCACTGGAGAGGGTTACAGAAAGTGGAGGGGTGTTTGGGGTAGTTTGGAGCCCCTGGGGGAAGCGACTGAGTGGGAGCTTTGGGGGAGGAGTGGGAATAGGGCTCCTGGAAACCTGGTAAAGAATGAATATTTGGTGAGCGAGAGAAAGGAGGGCTGGGAGCTGTAGGGCTCCTGGGACCTGGGGAGGGCTGGTGAGCTGCAGTCCTTGCAGAGAGGTGGGGAGCAGAGCTCCTGGGTCCCTAGGGAGAGCTGGAGGAGTCCCAGAAACTCCCGGGACCTCCGAGGGGCACATTCCTCACTCACCTACGCTGGGCAAGAGTCCGAATCCCAGTAGCAGCAGCAGCGGCAGCATTACTGGAGGGCACATGGGCAGTGGACCCATCCGATGGTGGCAGGTGTAGGACGAATGGCGGGCCAGTGT